ACTAGATTGTACTAGTTCTTCTTCACTTCTGTTTATAGTAACTTGTAAGATACAAGGTTCTGGTTCTTGCTATTAATCAGTTCATAAAAAATATTTTTCCTTTACAATCAGACATTTCCTTTTTCATTTGATTTACAGGTGGTAGGACTTTCATGTTTTCTTTTATCATGACAAATATAAAGACCTGAAACTTTGTCAGTTAATTGATCTTGATTTATGTTCATCTGCCGGAGAGGTGAGGAACGAGAACTGCAAACAAATAAGCCAGTAAAAAGGATTTACACGCAAAACTCAGGTCAAGGTAAATGCCAAAAGTCTATTTGGACGAACAACCGCGACTTACCGCCGGAATTCACAGCCGGTGAACAAGAAGAAGAAGAAGAAGATTTATGTTCTTCAACATAAAAAAAACCTACTTGTCTGTGTGGTTTACTGTGTTCTGTTTTTTAATGGTACAACTTTAACCAAACGTCATTTACATACCAGATAGTATAATTTTTAGTTTTATGGCAAATCATAATCAGTTGAGTTGAACTGAGGTCATGGACTGAGGCTGTGGAGACATGGATATGCAAAGAAATATGCTATATTTCATGGAAATCAAAGTAATAAAATACACCTCTTTCTATTCCAAGCAACGCACCATGTGTGCTCAGCTCATGTGTATGTGGATCAATGCAATACATTTGTCATCATTTATTTTATGTTTGGTTGGGGCATGCACAAAAATCTGGCCAACTATTTTAAATTCAGCACAGAATGTGGTGTATCTTTAAAATTCATTCGCTGATGCTTTTTCACTTTGTGCCTAATTGGGTTTCCACTTTGAAACCATCTGCGGCGGAGAGAGATAAATTTCAGGAGAGTAGAAATGAAAAAAGAGCTTTAAAAAACTAAACTTTTTGGCTACATCAAATGTCATAATACTCTAAAAATGGATGTCTAAGATGATTCTATGTATTAGTTAGTTAGTCGTTACGGTTCTGGCATCACAAAAAAACTAGCTTGGCCCATAATTGCTCAACCGCCTATGCCATGATTCCAGTCACAAACTGAGTAGGTACGCTGGATTCTTCAAGTGAATGCTGTAGCCATACAAAGTGTCCTCAGTCAGCAAAACAAACACAATTTGATCTGGCAAACCATAAGGTGCATGCCCCCTTAAACACACTGTGAGACCAGGCGTCATTGCTGAAAATCAACTTCATTAAAAATTTCCTGACCATTCTCCACATGTCCTCAGCCAAGTTGCAGCCACCGCCAGCAAATAAATAGCAGCTATAGCACACACCTTGTTCCAGGAACAAAACGAAGAAAAATACATAACCCATCATTGCCATTATGTACGAATCTGGAACTCAGTCGATAACCGATAATCATAGCTCATAGTGCCGCCAGAAGCACTAAACTCAGCTGCAAACCAGACTTCCACAATCTTGCAACATCAAAACCGGAGGAGAAACGGTGATGAGAACGGTCAACATAAACCAAGTTCTCAACCATCATCCATTCCCTATCATTGTCGGAACCAGAAGTATTATCTGTGTATTATCCACTACAAGTGATACTGTCAACAGCACGGATGTTTCAATCACATTTACTCATATAAATCAATAATATTATGTTCCACTAATTTGACTCATGCTTACTTTACAACGAAAACAAGCCAGATGGCAGTATACATCCTGCACTAACAATATCTACTAGGATACATCACATTCTTTCATTAGTTTTCAGAGTTACTCCATTTTATCAACATCAAGTCCAGTTTTTCAGACTGAAGGCAATTGGAATGGATTCTATGACATCTGTGCAGTGTAATGTAAAACCACCACTATTGTTAACTTTTATCCAAGACAGCGAGATATTAGAACATTAGCCAAGGATCAGGACAGAGTATCACAGTCTTGCAAAAAACCATCCATTATTCAATTTATACCTAGTATTATTAAGCATCACATGATACCATATCTCAAAGTGAGTCCACCTGACTTTTGACAAAACATAATTTGAATATATTTATATATTCACTTTTCATTTTTCAGCTTTTCAAAATATTTAATTTTGTCAACTACGTTCTTCATTAACTCTTTGAGGACTCTTCGCCAGTAAACTGGCGTATGAATTTATCCCTATCGGACTGTCGCCATTATACTGGCATATCACAGAGACACTCTAATTGTATTCTGTTTGTTTGTTTTTTTAAAGTTTAAAAAAATTAGGATTAACAAAAGAAAGTCCTTTCATACTGTGTGGCTTTTATGTCACTTTCTGATTAAAAAAAAATTATTTAGATCTTATACAATTTTTTCGTGATTTTTCTATACTAAATGATAAGAGAAATGGTCTAGAACTGTTCATACTGCTCTGTCATTGATGAATCTCTGCCAGATGGTGACAATAATCTTGATATTATGATTGATATCTAAGTGACAAACCTATTGGCGATAATTTAGTTTAGGATATAAAAACTAAACAAAATATTTCAATGGGATCATCTGCTTTAATCAGCTGTTTTCCAAATGTTCGGTTGTTGAGAAATCTGACATTTCATACAAAAATGATCAGAACATCCTAAGTATTTAAATTCATTGTTTCAAATAAAGACTAGCTGATACATAATTGAACAAAGAAGGCATGTGAATCTTAGAATCGGATAGTAGTATTGTTGAACAAGTTAAAAAGTAAGGTAAGCACAAAATTTGTTATGTAAATAATCTGCATATGTGTCTAACATTCTTGAATGTTGTGTTATTTTAATAATATTTTGTAGTAACACTGACACATTAATAGCTAAGATTTTTTTCTACACTCATTTATCTTTAATTTGATAGATTATATGTCCCAATAAAGCCAATACTTTTCTTCAGGAAGGCTTTAGCTTTGTCCTGTTGCAGTAAACAAAAAATTCCGCTCAAAATTAATGGTGTCCAAACCCCAGAAAAAAATGTCCTGAAAGAGTTAACATTCATCTGACAATAATTTTCAATATTTTCTCAAAGATAACAAAGCTGACTGATTAATGGTCAAGATGATTCGTTGGCTCATAGTTTCTTAAGTAAAGCTGTAAACAAGAGTTCAGTAGGTCACTGTGTTAAGTAGGATGACTGCAGTGCCAATAAGAAAAGTTTTTATTACTACTCTACAGTTTTAAATTCTTCCCACTTTACATTTCCTTATAATAATCTTTCATTCTTATCTAAACTTGTTAATGTTATTTATAACAGTGGATATGACCTTTTAAAATCCATATTTATAGCTCTGCCAAATAAACCAGGCACTTTAAAATGTAAAGACAATTGCAAAATAAGTCTTATGAATCACATGACTAAGATTTTACTGAGAATAATTATGAGAAGAATAAGAAACCAAATTAAACCAAACATCAGCAATGAACAATGTGGATTTGTAGAAGGAAAAGGTACAAACAATGCCATAAACATCCTAAGGACATTGTAGTGGTAAATTTTACCCCACCAGGACATCACACAATTGATAAACACCTGATGACACAAAGTGCCACCATGCGGATGAGGATCACCTGTGGAGAGGTCCCAGAAACAGCATTCAGCCATTAGGCTATATTGCGGTACCTGGCAAGAGCCAGGGTAGGGCTTCAAAATAACGAAAAAAATTTAACCCACAAGGGGGTGACAATGGTATAAGGACATTGTCAGAACCAGCTACAAAAGTAAAGACTGATTTGTACTTACGCTTCATTGACTATACAAAAGCATTTGACTGTGTGAAGCACAAAGAAGTAATCAAACTGTTAGAAAAATTAAACATTGATGGAAAAGATCTACAAATAATAAAGAATATGTATTGGCAACAAACAGCAGCTATAAGAACCAACAACTGTTTAGGTAAATTTCAGAGCATAAAGAGGGGCATACGACAAGGATGTGTACTGTCACCTTATTTGTTTTCACTATGCAGTGAATATATTTTGGGATCTTTAATTGATATGCCTGGAGTTGTGGTTGGTGGGCACAATATAAACAATTTACGTTATGCTGATGACACAGTCTTGATAGCAACAATTCAGAAAGAACTACAGGAAATGACAGACATTGTGGTGTTAGAAAGTGGAAGAATAGGCCTAAATCTGAATAATAGGAAGACAGAAGTAATGGTGGTATAAAAGAAACGAATTATTCCTAAATGTGTAATACACGTAGAAGGTGTTATTTTGGGACAAGTACAGAAATTTAAGTATCTGGGTACATGGATAACATCAGATGGAAAATGCATAACTGAAATAAGAAACAGAATAGGACAGGCATAAACTGCATTTTATAAAATGAAGAACATCTTATGCAATATATCTTTGTCACTCAGAGAAAAAGAATACTTGCTTGCTACATACAACCAGTTTTAACATATGCCTGGGAATCCTGGACAATCGGTAGGCAGGCCAAACAATTTCTTGAGGCCTCAGAGATGGGGTTTTACAGTGAATGCTTAGAATACCTAGGACAACCAAAAAGAGCAACCAAGAGGTTTAGAAAGAGGTGGGAGCCCGAAGACAACTTATCACAGACATCAGAAGGAGATAGTCATCATTTTTTGGCCATGCTATGAGAAGGGGGAAAATAGAACATGCTGTGACCACTGGAAAGATCTGTGGAAGGAGAGACAGAGGAAGACAATGAGGGAAGATGCTTGACAGTCTTGTTGCATGGCATGGAGGTGTGTCAGCACACGAACTGATACATGCTGCAGGAGTTTGCAGATTGTCGAGAGGCATGATCACCCACACTAGTCAGCAAGGCTCCTGATGATGATGATGATCATTCTAATCAGTCTGTCACCAATGAATTTTGATTAGGTGGACTGGCTTCCGGTTTGTCAAGCTTCATAATCAAAGTCATATTATTCTACAAGGTACAGACTGAAAGACACAGAGATTTATTGATGGCTTCTATCGTTACTCATACTTGTTTGAACTATTAGCTTTGCAAGCACACACTAATAAATGTAATAAAATGGAAAAATACCTTTATCACAGTTATGTCCCTCTTTATCCAGAGGACATCTGCAGTACACCTTCCCATCTACATTAAGACAGGTAGACCCAGACGGACAGAGACTGCAGTTGTCAACAGTGGACAAACAGTTTTTCCCTGTGTAGCCTAATAAATAGAATGAGCATTTAAAACTTATATAATACTGACATAAATATTTCTAATTGGTTGATACTGATGTAAAATACTAAAAATGTTGTTTTGTTACCAAACGTGATGCTTACAGTGTAAAAATGGTAGGATTAACTATAATGTGTAAAACCTACACAAGCAACAGAAAGAACTTTTTGTGACAACAGTATAACATCAGAGAACAAAATACTGCAAATTTAATTTCACTCAAAAATTATTGAAACATGTATATTTAAAAAAAAAAAAAAAATGGAAAAACTCAAACTAGACAAATTACCAATTCACTTATCAAAACTGAAGAACATAAAAACTTCAAAGAGAACATGCTAATGACATCAAGTTATGAAATCTGCATACAATGGGAACAATGTGTGCCATCATAAAATAAAATATATACAAAGACTCATTGCCAATCATTCGCCATCAAGAAAGGAGTGTTCCGCTGATACAGTTATTTTGGCCTCTCATGAACATTTATTGCATAAGATTGCTCTACATAGTAGAAACCTACCTCTAAAGTAAGTATTCTTCATTCCTCAATTCTAACTACATCTGTCTGTAAATGAGGATGAATTCCTGATATGAACAAACAAGGAAATTACTTGACAATGAGCACTCTTAGAAATAACAACCGCAAATCAGTCTCTCTTCTTCCCCTCATCTCCACAAGAGCACAGACGCTCGTAGGCAGTAAAATGACAAATGTAAATTACTGAAACAACTGATATATTCACCTTCCAAAACGTGAATTCAGATAAATGCTGTCACCCAAAAATAACAATAAATGATGAAGAAATTGAAAATGTCACAAACTTTGAATATCTAGGCTCTATAATAAACAACAATGGAGACTGTTTGACATAAAAGGAGAATAACCATAGCAATGCAAAGATTGAACAGCCTTAAAAGTCTATAGTTAAGCACCAGCAAGAAGATAAAAATTAGAATTTTGAGAGCATGCATCTTCCCTGTAGCTACATACGGATGTGAGTCGTGGACTATCTCTCAGTCCTTAAGAAAGAGAATAGGGGCTTTTGAGCTGAAATGCTATAGAAAGATTCTCAGAATATCTTGGACAAATAAGATGAGAAATATTGACATCTTAAAAGATTTGAACATCAAGGAATATTGGCTAATAAACAGCATCCTTTCTGAAACGCTGAAATATTCAGGCAGGCTGTGATGAGAGCGACATTCTGCAAAGGACCTGCTACATGATGTTCTTCTATGATGCCTATGATCAATGGTGATTTAAACAAATTATGAATTTTGCTGTTGCTTCTCACTTTCCATTCCCCATTTGTATCTGTTTTTAAAAACCTGTAAAAAGGATTCATCTCTTTTAGTTGTGCTCCAAGTTTCAGAGCCATATATAAAAAGACTGGTTTTATCGTTTGATATATATCTTGGTGTTGCAAGACAGACACTTTGACTTTAGCAGATGTTGAAGGGCATAGTATACTTTTTTTTTTCAAATTGTATTCTAGATTGTATTCCTTCTCTTAGCATGCTGAAGCAGTTGAAGTTTGAAGGCAAATACTTGTATGTGGCCAGAGTTTATATCCATTCCCTGTGTAGTTATTATCATGTATTCTTATCTTGACTGAAAACTAGTCCCATTTTCTTAGCTTATTCTTTTTATAGACTTAGTGTTTAAGCAGTCTCTAGTTCATTTTCTCCAATGATATCATGTCATTTGCATATTCAAGTATTCTTGTAGATTCTCCATTAGTACACCCTTGTTTCAATTTTCTTACAATTTTCTCCAGGGCCAAGTTGAAAAGAAGTGGGGACAGAGCATCACCTTGCTTTAAACCAGCTTTTATTTAAAAAGGAGCTGATTTCTGCCTTTATATGTTATTATATTAGGCGTGTCTTCCATACATATTTTGGTCATGGTAATAAACTTCTTTGGTATTCAAAAGTCCTTTATAGCATTCCATAAACTGTTTTTGTTGTTTATCTGTTCTGTCAGAAACCCGCTTGGTAATCTCCCAAATTGTCTTCAACATATGGTTTTAGCCTGTTTAGAAGTATCGCCGTTAGTGTCTTATAGCTTGTAGATAATAATGATATTCCTTCAAAAATGTCATACTTTTACTTGTCTCCTTTCTTAAAAATAGGTATTAATAAAGGCACTAAATTCTCCATCTTCCAAACATCAGTCATTGCCTCTTGAAATTCCAAATTACAAAGTATTTGACACTAACTCAAAACTTACAATAAACTTTACATAAGTTAAAGTTTTCTGCTTATATTTGTAATGCAGCATAAAACAGAATACTGTATGTTGACCTCCCCCCCCCCCCCCCCCCCACTCCTCCCCCCCCCCCCCCCCCCAAATGAAACAGTAACTTCACGAAAAAAGGTATTAAAAGTGAGTACTGATGTAGATCTATATATAAATAAATCTACAGAATAAATTAGAATGTCATGACAAACCATGTAGCAGTCAGCACTATCTCTTGCATTTATTTCTGTCAGAGACAATTTAACTTCTCAAAATGTTCATCCATCACAAGTAATGAAAACTACTCTTTTTTTTCATTCATTATTAAACTAGAGCTGACCGTCTGTGACAGTCTTATTATCCCAGTAGTGGCCTGGAAATATCTAGGACAATAAGGGCAGAAAACTGTGTCTACTTTTCAAAATAATGAATTAAAAACATCTCAGACCCTCTAAACTGAGACTTAAGAAGATGGTTATCAGCAATGCACATTTGTGCTCGGAATCCTTACCTTGTGAACATATGCACTCATAATTGTCAAGCTGGGGTATACAATGCCCACTATTTTTACATACACTCAGAGTTGTGTTACAGAAATTTTGTTGGATTCCACACTGATCTCCTTCATAACCTTATAAAGAAAATGTTTAATATTACACAGACAGCAGTAACATATTATTTCAGCATTTAAAAATAAAAAAAATGAAATTCATTAGTAATATCACACCTAATATATATTAATGAGAGCAGAGTGACCAGTCAACCAGCCAAATCTGATAGAGGCATTCACCTGGCCTTTGTACATTCTGCTTTGGTAACACTTTTCAAGTGAAGTATGTTGAGAAATTATGGTTGAACATGGTCCAGCATAATTGTTGCTACAAAGCATAAGTGTGGGACAAAAAGACAATATACAAGTTGGTTCCCTTCTCTAGGTTTTTCATTGGAGTCTGTTGACCATGAGATGCCTACAACTGCTAGAGAAATCAAAACCAGGCAAGGCCTTATCCCAGCCAGTCTGTATGTGCTGTGCTGAATCACAGCTCGTGTTAAACCTGCAGATCTGAAGTCCCAGCACTAGTCTTGCACACTTAATTGGTTTCTTGAAATAAAAGCTTTACAACAGTCCTCATGGAGAAGGTTCTTTTGTACCTGACCCAGAAAACAGTCTCGACACCAATCTCCTACCAACAGCAGTTACAGCCCCTAAAGAGAAGGAAAAGTAGACGTTGCTTAGCGTCATTGACTATGGTCTTGGCCTCCTCACTGTCAGCAAAACCCAGCTAGAAAGACTGGACCGAGTACAGAATGAGGCCATGAGACTCATACTCGGCTGCACAAAAGACACCTCCTGCAACGCCATGCGTTATATCCTGGGTCTGCCGACTATGACAAGCAGATACAAAGTGGCACAGGTCAAGGCTTACATGAGGGTATCGGCAGATGTTAACCACCCATTACACAAAGCTATACATGACACAAAAGGAACGCGTCTCAAAAGAGGCCGCTCTTGGATGGCAAAGGCTGAGGACTTAATCCAGCAGGTATGTGACCTAGACGTGATCAGCCACGGAAAAGAATGGACGAATACACCAGTAGACATGCATGGCATCTCTAAGGTTGTCATCACACTCGGAAGGCACTGCAGGGATCAAATTCCTGCGGCGGTAGACACAGAAGTAAGGGAACTGATAGATCAGCATTCAGACCCAGAAGATACCATCATTTACACAGATGGATCCGTGAAGCGCGGATCAAGGTCAGCATGGGCATACACAGCGCAAAGAAAGGGGAAAACAATAAATGAGGACAGTGGCGCTTACCAGACAACCACGTCAAGCATGACAATGGAAATAGCCGCTGCTTCTAGAGCTTTAGCATGGGTATCCGAGCAAACCGCCACACAGGTAGTAATTGTCTCAGACTCAATGAATATGCTTCAGAAGATAGCAACAGGCAGTATGCGCTCGGAATGGATAGAAAGCATCAGGAAATCGCACTTAACCTCCGTAACCTGGATCTACACACCGGGTCATTCGGGCGTGAAGGGAAATGAGCGAGCAGACCAACTGGCAAGCACTGCACTAATGATTGCGGGAAAAAGTATGGACAGAGCAGACATAGTCAACACTGTACAAACTGGGCTAGTGGAGAATGAGGAATCCCTGACACTAACACGATTGCGTGACATGGGAGTTAAGCATGGTGATGCACGTCTTTGCCGTCTTCGAGGCCGAGAAAGGAGACAATATAACCAGCTTCTCATGGGGACAATTAGTAGAAGTACTTTAGAGTGGCTGCTGCTTCGGAGAACTGAGCACGCATGGGTATGCCCAATGTGCAGTGACATTAATTGTGATAACAGAACATAAAATAACATCTTAGTAGGGAGTCGGCAGTACGAAACCTAAGTTCAAGGTGTCTCCTTCGTGCCAAAGAACTGCATGGCTGTTCGGTGAACAGTCGTTAACGACGGCAGGCAGGTCGTTGTAGGGGCGACGCCTGCTGGTGGATGTAATGTCCTAAGTCCCTTCCCCAGCTAATAATGAGGGTACTGCTGGGATGACCGTTTATTAACCCTCATATAATTCTTCCGGTCAAAATGGACGCTAGGTACGGCCACCCTTTTTTTTTTTTTTTTTTTTTTTTTTTAAAAGCCGTGGCAAATATTTTTTTTTTTTTTGCCAGACGGTGGCCGTTGCATTTTTGCTCCATTTGTAGACTGGAAGAATGTAGTTTCGTCGCCCAGCTTCTGAGTTGAGTGCATGGCGTGACACTGTAAGCTGCGTTTGTTTTTCGTTGGCACAGGAGCGGAGCATATGTGGGGTGACCCGTTTGCTATGAAGCTGAAACTAGGATTACCAGATTACCAGATTACAGCCCCTAAAACAAAGCATACACAAAAAACCATAAACATATTTAATATCTTTAGCTGTGAAAAAACTAACAGTTCTGGCTGGATCCATTTCCCCTAACTCTTTGAGTCCCAAGGAATGCAACATGTGCTAATTGGTTATAACCCAGTGACCCTATCAGCGTGTGACTAGTGAAGGTTTTTAATTTATCACTGACCCATAATAAAAAATGGGCAATTCACTTTCAACTTTCTTTCCAGTTCTTTGTGTCTGATATCAGGCGTACTTATTTAAAAACGTGATTAAAGCTAAAAGATAATATATTAGCGAGGTTTACCAAGTCAATAAGTGTTTTTTTTAAAAATAATATGGCCACCGAGCAGTATTCTACATTTCTAGCTCTCCTCGTTGTTATGTTTGTGTAGTTCACTAATGTTTGAAAAAGGCTGCCCGGTCGAAACATTATTTGTGTTGTTTCGTGCACGTTTTTCTGCCTCCCCATTTTGTTGAGCTTTTTTGTCACATTTCCCTGGAATTCCTTGTATTAGTTTTTGACTGCAGTCACCCCCATATTTTCAAAATTTTTAGTATTCTACATGCATGCCAACATGATTTACTTCTTTAGAAAATTAAATTTAAATAAAGCACATGTTTAGTTAGTTAGTTAGTTAGTTAGTTAGTTAGTTAGTTAGTTAGTTAGTTAGTTAGTTAGTTAGTTAGTTAGTTAGTTAGTTGACAGATTATCCTCACTGCACGTCGAACCACTCAGTCCATAAGTGCTTGGATCCCCTCCTCAGTAAATCTTGCAGTGTGTAGCGGTTAACGACACCAGTTCTGTGTTAATTTATTCTTCTTCTTTGGCTACCCGCGCAGTGTTCTTTTCTGGCGACACCCTATTTAACTTGTTGTTCTTGCAGTGTGACCATGGTAGCAGATTCACTGCAGATTCACAGTTCTCAATTGGTTCACACAAACCTCTTAACTCTTTAAGAGCATTCAGTATATCGGCCTGGTCCATGGCTTGTCCAGCTTTCACAGTAGCCTTACCTACAAGTCTATCAGCTTGCTCATTTCCTTGTACCCAACATGTCCTGTCATGAAAATGAAACTAATCCTTGTCAGCTGTGAATTCTGTAGAGCCACCAACCACTGCCTTCGGACCCAGCCCCCCTCTACCTTCCGGAGCATACTCATCAAGTCACTTAGAAAGCATGCTCCAGTGAAAGTATTTGTCTCTAGCCATGTTACTGCTTTAGTCACAGCCATGACCTCCATTGTCAGACTACTTGTAGTTATGGCAAAAGCTCCAAAATCTTTCTTCACAACTCTCCCTCCAACCTGAGCTGTGAAAGCCCATGAGCTTCTAACATGGCAGATTACAGACCCATCTGTGTAAATGACAGCATCACCTCTAGAGCATTCTCGAAAATCAAGGCTTGAACTTTTGCTTCCACAGCAGCTGGTCTCTGTTGTCTGACTTTTCTGTCTAGCTGGATGCACATGTTTATTATACTTAAATAAAGTTAGATATTGTTGAAAAGCAGACTTGTTTCAGTCATTTATAGAGTCAAACTTTGATGAGGGATAGCTCCAACGTGTACCTCACGTGAAGAGTACAACGATAGCAAAGTCAGTTGACCTAAATAAATAAATGTTAGTGAAAAAATGATTTTCTTCAGTGTCAGTTCTAGTGCTGTTCCCTTTATTAGGAACACAGCTACAAAATTACAGGCAAACTGAGTGTTATATAAACTTCATTTTGTGTGAAGATACTGTTTTGGAAAGTCAGTTCTCTTTACCAAAAAATGGTGCTCTGTGTCACAGGACAGGCCACACCCCCCCCCCCCCAATCCCCCTGTTTTTCGTCTTAGACTGGTCTAGATCTTGTCACCTCTATGCAGATGAGGTTTAGTTTAAAAGTGGGTTTGTCTCTATAGTCCTTCTTTTGTAATTATGTGTCTACATGTCAGGTTAAGTACTCAATTCTGTCCTAATTATCTAAGGAGAGAGATATTTTTAAATTCAAGACCTTAGGTGGGAGATTCATTGTTAGTGAAGCCACAATTTCACTACAGCTTGAACGGGGATGAATCCCCTCCCGCCTTTATAGGGAGAGACGCTAAGTTTAAATTGATTCTTGACTAAGCTTCCAGAGAAGACGCACGCTTATTGCCTTTGTGCTGTATATCTATTTCTAGTGAAACCACGGATTCATACTAGAGGATCCTTGAGCATGGAGAATGCGAACCATTTTATGCCTCCTTCTGTGTTTATTGATTACTCCCTCTGAGTGGCTAATTGGTCTTAGGGCATAGTGTCAACCTCGAGTGTTGGAGGTCTAGGGTTCAGGCCCGGGTTAGAAATGGGATTTTTTCACGTGGACTTCTAGTAACTTCCCCTGGTCTCTGGGTAGTAAGATCATATAGTGGGTGTTTCATCTAGTAGTTAATGTGTCAGTGCAAGATCCAATATTGGTTCCTTGTTGACAGAAGCTTAATCACTATAAAAAAAATTCAATGACAATATGTTTAGAAATACATTAACCCTTTCGTTGCTATGGATGTATATATACGTCTGCCTGGTAGATTGCTAAAGACGTATTAATACTTCTTCCATTTTCTGTGCCCACACTGCAAAAGACGTATTAATACGTCTTCAACTTTTCTTACTGATTTTTAAGAACCGTAAGTCTCAGGGGGTGAAATGGCAATACACATTACCTAAATATGATCAAATTGACCAATTTACATACAATTAAAACCCTAATTGCGTGCGTTTAGGTGTATTTAGATGCATTCAACATTATCCTGTTGCTTTGTTGGTTTTGTATTAGTCTACTTTTTTATTTTAAAATACAAAACAGCAACAACAAAAAATTAGTTAATTAAAGCTGATAAAGAATTAATGGAGTTTCTTTCAAGGAGTAGTGGTAATGATCATTTTGATATGTGTAAGATTTGAGTTGGGTTATTTTCACGGCACCCCTACAGACATGTGTACTTCTGGCCGTCAGCAAGACTGACCATCTGACCCAGCCACCTACATTGAGACTGGATTGAAATGGATCTTCAATGATCACGAAGAAGATTTGGTCACATACTGACATGATGGATGATTAAAATTAATGTTTTTTGTATACTATACAACAGACATGAATGTCTGTTTCTACACATATGTTGTAGCGGTAGAGACAAAGATAGACTTAGCCAAGGATACATTTTCTTTCACTACCCCAAGTGAAGCCAGGCAAATAGGTCTAGTTTCTAGTGTTTTCTTTCTGTAAATGTGTTTCTTGGCGTCGTCATAGTGTGTCTGATTTGTCAGCACTTGGGCCATCACCCAGTTACCTAATTTAAATAAATATTTTCATGTGTACAAAACAGAGCCCTCGCCGCTGACCTATCTTTTGCATTTGGAGAATAGAAAAGTATTCAGCACAGGGGGGGAAGTTCAGCAGGGAACTTGCTTAGCACAGTGGCAACATCTGCTGGCGGAGTAGGTAGCAGCAAAAGGATTAAACATGTCTCTGCAAATGGTTTTTAAAATGTATTCTTTTGTATATTCAGATAAATCTGCATCTATTTCTCAAGATAATATTAGCCCTTTGCACAATTACAAACATATGATTCACTATGTTTTTGTAACCACTGTAGAATGTGTATGGATAAACAATTTAGAAAAGTCTGCAGGTTATTAAGCTACTGGTATTTCTTGAAGTGTTGCTAATCTGAGGTTTGAACAACGGATCAACATCATGTCACACTGGTAGTACAACATAAGTGCTCAGTTTTTCTTTTAACTTGAGTCCAAAGAAGCTCACCACAGTGTACAGGCTCTGTAACACCGGCGACGATCCTGAAATACTTTGGGTAGATTTTTAACTCTAAATTTTGCCCGGGCAGCGCGGTTAGGCTACTCTTTTCATGCTAATCTAAACAATATCCTAGAATTTTATTCTATAGCTATATTCTAAATTTAAAGCCAATCATACCTTCATCACAATTACACTGGAAACTGCCATTACTGTCTTGACAAGTGCCATGAATGCATGGATTTGTCACCTGGCAAATATTGACACGAGCAGAACAGTTTCTCTCATATGTGTTTGGATTGCACCTGTTAGAGAAAAGTTTCATGAAAGAGCTACTTAAAAAGTTAATCAAGATAAATCACATGTGCAAGTGCTGTATACATTAAAGTGGGGAGGGGGGGGGGGGGGGTGTCTTCTTCTTCTTCTTCACTTCCTCTTTTACCGCTGTGGGTTTCGAGGGAGATATAAGGTTTTGTTTCTGGCTCTTCTGGCCGCCTCGACCATAGGCACATCGTGCTGTTATAGAGCTTCTCTGATGTTATCCTTCCATCTTGTTCTTGGTCTACCTCTTGCTCTATGACCTTCTTCTCTTTCCATATATGCTTTGTATGGTATGGTGTCACAAGGCATTCTCTCTAAGTGTGTAACTATTACAATTTTTAATTGTAGAACAAGCTTAGAAATAAAACACCTTGACTTATCAAAAATATCAAAATTCATTTACAATTTAGCAGCATAAAGAAGCAGGGAGCAAGTATGGACTATCTATTAGATGATATCAGTTCTGCTATAAAAGCCTAATAAAATAAAAATGAAAAAAAAAATCCATGCTTTATTAAAGACATACTTTGAGTGCAAGACAGAATGTTTAGAACAAAAATAATATACCTAAACTATTTAAAAACAAATATATAAATTACATATACAGTGAATAAACAGCAGCAAAAGAACTAGAGGAAAACATTTAAAAAAAGCTAAACCTCAAATAACTGAAAATAAACACTGTAGTCTCACTTAAAGTTTTAAACATAGTTTTGCAGAATGGGAATAAAAAATAACTGGGATGCATCTTGTTATAGCACGCCATAATGAAACCCAACTTACTGACTCATTCATTAGAATTGACAACACTGTGCAGGATCCTTGAATGACACAGAAAAACTCCAGGAAATGCATTTATTTCCATCAGTATGCTGAGTGTTGTCATCATTATACTATGGTTCTCTGTAATGGTCTGTCCAGCATATATAGTTAAAAATGCCTATTCCAATCTCCTACTTCAAAAAACAGGGCCATATACAATGACTTTCTTCTTTGCAGATTTGTTGCTGCACTTTATTCTCACCTGGACACCATGCTTAGCAATCTCTGCAAAAAGCTATGGAAACAGTGCAGTAGATACAGTTTCCCTAGTTTCCTATACATTATTCTAGTTTTTCCCTTCCTATGACATACCAAATGCTCAGCGTAATTTTCATAAAGCAGTAATGACTAAAATTTACAAGATACTTGAAAATAAGATAAAAATGTTACCACTAAATGTATACTGACTGAATACTTGAAATCCTAAAACACAATTTAGTCGTTGCAATCTTAATGTACAGTTTCTAACTAGGGGGCTGCATTAACGCAGTCGATAAGAGGCTCATTTTCAAATCCAGCTGCGACTCACTGCAGCCCATGGTCGGTGTTCGAAACCGGCCAGTTCCCGGGGTTCACCCAGCCTCTAGGAGATGGGTACCAGTGTTGACACTCTGGGGTAAATGGAGGAACGTCGCTATAGCTACAGAGTTACGTGCGGACGGCGACACAGGCGGACAATTCTTATCAGCTGTCCGTACTGGTGGCAGAGCACTTATGGTTTATAACCTTATGCAATGATGCTGGTTCACATCTCCCGACTTTACCTTTACCTTTAGTTTCTAACTATTTGGGTTGGCAATAAATAAAAAATACTTACGCGCAAAAGTACCCATTGAAATAGTCAACACACATGGCACCATTAAGACATGTAGTAGTAGTGCAAAGTTTATTTTCAGTTTCACAGTTGCTTCCGACCCATCCAACAGGACACTGACAGACATAGGCATTCACCATGTTTATGCACGTGGCATTGTGCAGACAGGGATCTGAGTCACACTCATTGATGTCAGTCTGTTCAGAATATTAACATATTTATAATAAAAGGATAGGAGAATATCAATTCAGTTTTTTATGACTGCAGTATCAAAATACGGGGAGTTGCAGTAAACAGTGGCTAAGTGCTTTCCTACCAGGTCCCAGGCAATATTCTGGAAAGTGTAGACAGTCAGCGTGATGCCCATCATATTACCCACCAAGCGCTGACAGGTCTATAAAAATGTGTCTAGCATAATATGCCTTAGGTGATTCTGGCATAAAACGGGGTCCTTCAATTTTTTTTTTCAACTATCGATGTACTGCAAATATTAAGGGGTCACTACAGGAAACATTTTTATTTTTTTATTTACAATGTTAGACCAATTATTTAATAATGGTAATTTGTAGGGATGTATGTTGCTACATTTGTAGACTTCAAGTTTTAAAAAAAACATGGTTGCCATGGCAACAGCCGCCACCTTGATGAAAAATTAACATGTTCTTAGACAGCTAAAATTTCAAAAACAAACAAAGGTATTAAGAAACAGATGATTGATTCATAAACTCTAAAGCTATGTTTAGGGTCAGGGCTAGTTTATTTACTTCAAAGATGTTTTTAAATATTTTTTGTAGAATATTAAAATTTAGGTATGCTGAAAAAATACAAAAATGTAGCTTTTTAAGATAATAATCAAATTTTTCAAACAAATTACTCAACAAACTGTAATTTCAAATAGACCTGACCCTATGATATTGTATTAGGAGTATTGACACCAAATTTCACGTCTCTAGTCTTTATATTAGCTGAGATTTTAGGAGATCCCACACACAACAAACAGAAAAATTGAATTGTTAGAAAAGTGACTTTTAAACTTTTTTTATATTAAAAAAGTGCATGGGTTGGTGTCTTTAGTATTAACTTTTCAATGCTAAACTGTTTACCAATGACACAAATTTTGTGTGTAATCTATTCTACGAATGCCGAACATTACAAAAATGAACACATTGAAAAAGTGATATTTTTGTCATAAATTTGAAAAAAATGCCGTGTAGTGACCCCTGCAAACATGAATTAGTTTGTAAGGAATACCAAGTTGGTTGTACTCAGATCTGTTTTCTACACTGGTTAAAACAATGTTTTTAATAGAAACTACAATAAAACCAGGCATATAATCACTTCATACATGAGAATGCCTAGTGTCTTTGTTAACTTCAAACATTCTGATATTTGTTAAAATAATAAAACATAATTGAGTGTTTCTGCACTCCTGGGTGATGGGAAGATGGCACAGAAAATGTTGCCAGTTCTGTTATCACTTAACAGAGACCTTTATAGCTGGATTTCAGAGTATGGAAACACAAAGGGAGTTATGGCCCGTGTTGGCTTGTTTCTTTGAAGTGTCAAGAAAAAAAAGATACTGAAACAATCACATTATCTGAAACAATAACATCATACAAAAATTTATATTACATCACTATAATCCAGTGGTCGGCTCTGTGGCTAAGTCGATGCGAACACTTCGCTTCGTAATGCCGGGATGCCGGGTTCGATCCCAGCTGCGGGCAATGCGCCTTGCGTTGGTTTCGACAGTGGTATCAAGAAAGCCGACCGTCCAGAAAGCAATGGCAAACTACTGGACGTAATTTGCCTAGAGAAACCACACAACAGCCAGGGGCTGTTAGGGTTGGTTCTGCAACGTCCTGTAAAGGATACGCAACAACCTTTTTAAATAATCCAGTGATCTATCTAGAGAAAGCAAAAAAATCTTTTCTTTTTTTTAATATTCAGCAAATTCAGATTGTTACCTCACAGTTGCTACCAGTGTAACCAGCTTTGCAGCGGCAATGGTAGCCATTTACCATATCCTCACAGGCATCAGTTCCAGTGGCAATGCATGGTTGTGAGGCACAATCATCTACTTGAATGTTGCATCTGTCACCTATGTTCAGAAGTTTACAATTACAGTAAAATTCAGTTCATTTTTTTTTTTTAATTAAAACTCTTTTATTACTAATTATTATATCTTAACATGAAGTAAACTACACAAAACTAAATTACCTTCACAACTACTCAAGAAAAAAAATTGCAGCAAGTTATGTACGAGAAATATATTTTGGGGGAAAAGAATATAAAAATAATATTCATGAATACAGAAAGGAGAACACAAGACTGGAAAAAAGATCTTTTTAAAAGATCCTATGTCAGGGACATTCAACTGGTGGCTTGCAGGTCAAATCTAGCCCCCAGAGGCCTAGCAACTGACCAGCCATCACCTACCAACTGTAATGTTCTAATGATTTTGTTATGCTAGAACTCAGGTCTCTGGCCCACCTGATCCATATTTCCCAACATTTTGGTCCCTGAGTAAACTGAGAATAGCCACGTCCTATGTTTATCATTCACAGACTAAATCACCGATGACAAAGTTCAATATATTAACAGCCAACACAATACCGACTACAAATCTCTTTTAAGAACACTAAGCAGCAAATTCTTTGAGAAACAGAAGATCAAATGGTTTGGTCATCTTGTCAGAATGCAGCCCTAACTACCAGGAAAGAGGTCATTCAAAAAGAAAATAGATTGATAACATCAAAGACTTTCTACATCTACATGAAATGACAATAGCCATTGCTATCCATGAAGCAAAGAATCACAAACTGTTCCTCTGCATTATGCTTAATGGCAACATCAAAATTTATTATGATGATGAATAACAGGGAATCCCTCTAGGAGCATTCAGCCTGAGGAACCAGAGGAACCTTGTCTGACTGGGGGTGCAAAAGAGGGGGTGGGGGGGGGGGGGTTGGAGTGGAATAATCACATGTTAAAATGAGAAGGTGGGTATTATTGATAAAACTGCAAAGTTCCAACATTACTCGCTATTAGTGTTTTGTCCTTATAGTGTATATTCATGATGCACAAAGTGCATCAATTCCACTGTTAACACACTGAAAACAAGTTTTGTGGACATCTCTACATATTCACACCCTCTATCACAATGAAGTGTACTGATGCAATGCTCATTTACAGCACTTCTGTAAGTTCTTGGATAGTGGCACAAAGACTCTACATGCCTAAAGTCCACTCTTCATCCATGACCTTATTTCAACATTATTTTTTTTCTTTTCTTTTAGGATCTACTGAAATGTGATCAACTTTTGTTAACCTCTGTGTGGCCACCCTGGAATTAAATATACCAAAAATATAATTACATTTTTTAAACATTGTTACAATGGTATCATGAAACTTTTGTTAATATGATGCAACACCCTGCTTAAACAGTTTTGTCATTGCAAAACAAATGAACTTATCTTTCCAGTCATAATGCCAGTGCTTCTTTTCTCATCACATGACCAAAGAAATTTGTTGGCCTCCTTCTCATTGTTGTATACAATGTTCAACTTTCCTTAGCCATTTCTAGGCAATCATCATCATCATAAAGGCGCCTTGCCGACTGGCATGGGCGAACATGCCTCTCCACAATCTGTGATCTGCAGAATGTATCAGTTCGTGTACTGGCACACCTCCATGCCATGCAACAAGACTGTTGAGAATATTCTCTCGTTGTCTTCCTCTATCCCTCCTTCCGCAGAACTTTCCAGTGGTCACAACATGTTCCATTTTCCCTCTTCTCATAACATTGTTGAAAAATTATGACTGTCTCCTTCTGATGTCTGTGATAAGTTGTCTTCAGGCTCCCACCTCTTTCAAAACCTCTTGGTTGCAAATTTTGCTGTCCAAGGTATTTTAAGCATTCTTCTTTAAAACCACATCTCTGAGGCCTCAAGAAATTGTTTGGCCTGCCTACCAATTGTCGAGGACTCACAGCCATATGTTAAAACTGGTTGTGTAGCAAGCAAGAATTCTTTTTCTAACCCTCAATGACAAAGACATATTGCATAAGATGTTCTTCATTTTATAAAATGCAGTTTTTGCCTGTCCTATTATGTTTCTTATCTCAGTAATGCATCTTCTATCTGATGTTATCCATGTGCCCATATACTTTAATTTCTGTACTTGTTCCAAAATAAAATCATTGACTTTTATTACACATTTAGGAATAATTCTTTTCTTTGATACCACCATTACTTCTATCTTTCTATTATTCAAACTGAGGCCCATACTTCCACTTTCTACCACGACAGTGTCTATCATTTCCTGTACTTCTTTCTGACTTGTTGCTCTCAAGACTGTGTCATCAGTATAACATAAATTGTTTATATTGTGCCTACCAACCACAATTCCAGGCATATCAATTCAATTATATATTCAATGTATAGTGAAAATAAATCAGGTGACAGTACACATCCTTGTCGTACGCCCCTCTTTATGCTCTGAAATGTACCTAAACAGTTGTTGGTTCTTATAGCTGCTGTTTGTTGCCAATACATATTCTTTATTATTCGTAGATCTTTTCATCAATGTTTAATTTCTCTAACAGTTTGATTACTTCTTCATGTTTCACACAGTCAAATGCTTTTGTATAGTCTATGAAGCATAAGTACAAATCAGTTTTAACTTCTATAGCTCTTTCTGACAATGTCCTTAGGATGTATATGGCATTGTTTGTACCTTTTCCTTCTACAAATCCTTATTGTTCATTGCTGATTTCTGGTTTAATCTTGTTTCCTTTTCTTCTTATTAAGCACCACGACGGACTGGAAAAAATTATAGCAGAAGGCATGGTACCAGGAAGGAGGGGTAGAAGCCGACCGACACAAAGATGGGCACATGATATAAGTGACTCCTTGAGTATGAAAGTACATGAGGCAGGAGAACTGGCGAGAGACTGAGTTTCTTTCAGGCAGACTGTGATGAGAGCGACATTCTGCAAAGGACCTGCTACATGATGATGATGATTCTTTTCATAATTATTCTCAGTAAAATCTTAGTCATGTGACTCATAAGACTTACTGTGTGATGGTCTTCACATTTTAAAGTGCCTGGTTTCTTTTGCAGAGCATTTTAAAAGGTCATTTGGAATATACCCACTATTATAAATATCATTCAAAAGTTTAGTTAATATTTCAATTACAAAATCTCCCAGTGCAATTTCTTCTATTTCTTCCAGTGAGATGTTGTCTGGCCCGGGTGCTTTTCCTTTCTAGGCAATCATATTAGTTATTCTGGCCGTCTAAGGTATTCGTAACATTCTTCTCAAGAACTACATCTCAGTTGACTACAAACTTGGGTTATACTAAAAATAAATGAACATCCTACGTACTCAGATATATAGTATGTTAAGTTTACAGAATACACTCAGAATGATAATTGAATTTCTGTGTGTAAAGATATGTGTTACATATTGGCATCACAAACAGTAAAGAAGTCTGAAATCTGTGACCCCAATAAAAGCCTGCATACCTTGGAAACCTGTTCCAGAACAGTTACAGTAAAATGTCCCGATCAGATCATAGCACTGCCCTCGATTTTGACAGGGCATACTCAAACAATCATTGATGTTTAGCTGACAAAGGGAGCCTCCATATCCAAATGGACACACACAATTAAAAGATGAGCCAGTGGAGGTACAAGAGCCATTATTCAAACAGGGATTTCTGGCACAAAAATCTTTGACCTTGCAAGTCATTGTACCTGATGAAATTAAATGTAGAGAGAAACTCCATTGTTATTTGAAAGCTCATTATCTAACACAATGAAGGCACTAACTATCTAATAAAATAAAGGCATTTAAACTGTACTGTTTAGCACTGCATATGTCATACACTCCTGAAACTACAAATATTGCTCAAACAGAAGTTATCAGCTAAACAAAACATATCTGTAGGGGAAAAAAACACAGATAATGCTGTATAGTAAAAGCACTATTACTTTGTAAGACTGCAATCTTATTGTGTTAAAAAAAATATTTTAAAAATAGTAAATGACTAACTTCCACACCTTAAGATATACTGGGTACATTATGCTCATCATAGTCATGTGCCATGTTGATGATAGCCATCTTAAAAACCCCAAACAAGTCTGTGTTTTGTCCTGTCTATCATATGGTCATTCAATCCCTGTATTTAGTTGTTTTTGTTTTTGTTTTTTCTGTCAATGGAAAATATCTTTTTACCTCATGAACTAGAAAGGTAGGGTAAACTAGGAAAAAAGCTGTAAAACAGTTATTCTTACATTTAAAACAGATGATTTATAACGTAGACAAACTGCATGCAACTACTCATGATTTCTGAATTATCCACGAATGCCACTGTAATTTTTGTTTTTAGACAATTTAAATAATACAAATAATTAACAGGAGATTGCTTCTTTCTTTTTTTAAATTTTTTTAAAACAAGTCTCAATGTTAGCCTGTGGAAATCTCTAAAATCATACTTTTTTAAACTAAAAATCCAATTAAATATTACCTTCAGTATTCAAATGAGTGCATTAATAATGTGAATGCATAAATATGAAAACAAAACATATTTTAGGTGTATTACTTGAGTTAAGTTCTGTGTATTCCTTGCAAATACATATGTAGGTATTGTTAATCTCATTTTCCAAACACATAGCTTCTGGACCACAATCAACAGTGCCACAAAGCTTATTTCGAGTTTCACAGTTTCGTCCTGTGTATGCTGGGTCACAGTCACAAGTGGATGTCAGATAGCCATCCCTGCATGTACCATTATTCCGACAAGGACGTCCATAACAGTCATCTTGAAAAGTAAAACAAAGAAATAAATTAGTATTTAATAATCTATATGTGTGTAGCTGCTGGCAAACACCATCTTTAGCACAAAATTATATATAAACAAAAGTAAAGAAACAAGAATTATGGAAAAGGGGGAAGAGGACATTGCATTTGCAGTATCAAAACAGGTGTGGGGGAAGGCTTCTTGTGCACCCCAAGATTATGCTTAGCCTTCTAAACTTGCTTCACTCTGGAAGTCTGACAGAGTGAATATGCTATGTCCATAGATAATTACAGTCAGAACAAAATGACTGTACAAAATGGTCAACAATCTCTGTTACAGCTGTACTGTGGGGTACTGCATCAATACAGGGTTTCTTCAATAGTGAGTAAGGTTGAATCACCTATTTTTGCTAGATATAATATAATATAAAATAAGATATAGTTTACACCCAGTGTGAAAGTGGGAGCACAAAGTATAAATAATCTGTGTTATGTTGACAGAGGAGATAAGTAGAAATGAATTGCAAGAGCCAAATGACACTGCTACAACTGAAAAGTAATAACAGATTAAAATTATAAACTTAATCAAAGTGGTCATAACAACAACAAAACAAAAAAAAAGTAGCCACCAGAATGTACAGTAAAAACACATGACATAACAATGACACAAGTAAATAATTTCAACTATCTTGGAGCAATGATAAGACCAAGTGGGGGAAAAGGCAACACAGACTAACAAGCAAACCAATTCAAGCAGGGCAGTAGTATTCTGCAAAGGAGCAGACAGACTAGGGAGAAGAGGGTTACAGATGGTGATGGCAGAGAAGATCTCACATCAGTGATACTAGTTGAAGTCTCAAAAAAAAAATCTTGAATAGGAACACTGAGGTTGAGCAGGACAGTAACATAACAAAACAAACTATGACCAGGACACTTAATGGAGGTAAAGGAAACCACACATGCAACTTACAAATACAATAAACACTTTAACTGGTCTTTTTCAGTGGACAAAGCAATAGAACCATAAACAACTATTTTCAAAACCACTTGCTAGCAAGAAGGGAATGAACTTGGAAATAAATTTTTGTTTGCTGCATGGAAAAAAATACTAATCAGTGACTACAAAGGGCTGTGACTGACAGAAAAAAGAAAGGAAATCAAATTTGGCACTAGTAGGAGTGATCATGGTCACTGAAGAGAAATTAAACAGTAGCAGGTACCAGGGGAACTACAAAGATTCATACACTTTAACTAAATCTGTGGGAGATGGAGTAAATGTGGGAATGCCAAGAGTACTGTGAGGTCAATTATTTGATTTTTTATACATTAATTTTGTGGACTTTGAGAAAGCTTTTGACAGCATCCACAGAAACAGTCTTTGGAAAATGTTACGGCAATATGGAATTCCAGAAAAGATAGTCACATAATTGCTCTGTTCTATAAAGACTTTTCCTGCAGTATAAAAAATTACAATACATCTTTCCCAGTAAAGACAGGTGTAAGACAGGAATGTGTCATGTCATCTCTCCCCTTAAGCCTTGTGATTGATTGGATACTAAAGAACATAGTAGACAAGACCTTAAGAGGCATACAATGGACTCCATTCACCATGCTTGAGGACCTTGATTTTGCAGATGATATAGCACTCCTATCACATAAAAAAGAACATATACAAGAGAAAAGTAACAGACTACACAGCTCAGCAGAAATGGTGGGACTGAGAATAAATACAAAGAAAACTAAGATCATGATGAACAATCCAAATCAACAACCAGTGACCATAAATAACCAAACACCTGAAAATGTAGAGCATTTCATACATCTTGGCAGTGTGGTGTCCCTACTGGGAGGGACCGAAGAAGACACACAGTCAGGCCTGAACAAAGCTAGAGCTGCTTTTGGAAGGATGAAGCAAATCCAACAGTTGCTGCAGAGGAACAAAACTTTATAAAAGCATCATTTTGCCAGTTCTTCTTTATGGTAAATTTCAACCTTCCACTACACATGTCTACGTAGATTTATCAAAATTTTCTGGCCAAATACAATCTCAAACACTAAACTACTTCAAGTCCCAAACCAAGAAACTGTAGACAGTATGATAACCAAGAGAAGATGAGAATGACTTCTGATATACCTGCCAAAACAGATGTAACATGGATACCAGAGGTAAAGAGAAAAAAGGGGAGCCAAAAACAACATGGAGACGAACGATGGAAAGTGACCTGAGTGCGGCTTCTTTGACATAGAAAACTGCACTGAAGATTGCACAGGACAGGAAAGCATGGATAGTCCTCTCTGAAGCCTCATGTGCCACTAGGCATAACGAGAACTGACTGAATTGTTTGATGGTAATATTCGACAATAAGTCTATATTTCAGCATATCTGCTTTCCTGTTGTTGGATATATTTTAAATAAGACATTAAAGATTATAATGAAGCATCAGCTGTATGACAGTTTAATGTAGCTAGTATCCCTACTGCCAGTAACATTTATGATTAACTTTAGTTTAACATGACAAATAATTTAACACAACCACTGCTGACTCTTAGTGTCATGAAGCACATCCAGTGTGTCTTTAGAGGAGGCTGGTTGCCACCTCACAGACCAGAGTCTGCTGTAAAAACCATCCTTTCAGAAGCAACAGATTTTATTTTGTCACATGCTTAAGGAAGGTAATGCTGGAAATATTTTGGATGAAAATATAAAATTACTATTATCATCACATGTTCCAGAAAATGTATTGTGAATATTTATAATAGTATTCACAATACCTAATTACTGCAAGCACATTTATGATGATCAAGCAGGTTTGATAATGTCAAGAAACATTTAGCAATATGTTGCAAACCTGTACTCTCTTCACAAGACCGCCCAGTGAAACCAGATGGACAGGAACAAGAGAAACGCACTCCACCAATGGCTGTACAAATTCCTCCATTTCTGCATGGTGCTGATGCACATATATTTTGCACTATCTGACATCTGTTTAATAGGTGTTGTAAACATTCAGATTTTTACTGTTTCAAAATCTTTTCTTAAAGTCACTACTAAAATTTAAAGTGTATAAAAGAACAATAATTAGCCCTTTTTTTTAACATTATAAAATTGACAAGCAGAAAGCATATTTCCAAAATTAATTATTAACAAATTTAAAAATATAAAAACCAGATAAAGGTACAGGAAATATACAGTAAACCAACCTTCTGTTTGTAGTTAAATATGATATAATTTCCAAAATAACCATATGTAAGAAGATGAAAGATACTGTAAATACAAATGTTAACTGATCTATAAAGTAAACAAAACCTTCTTTAAAAGTATTTTCACAATTAAACAAAATACTTCAACATGTTTACATGGTTACTTGTGAAGTTACTTGTTTATCAGGATAACTGCATCTCTTAGCATTTTGTAATTGGAACACTTGTGTAATAAAAAATACCAGTAAACTGTATTAGATACATATCAATATGAAATAGTTCTTGAGAGGTGCCACAAAAAACACAGATAAAGTTGCTGCTTCCCATAATTTCCCCATAATTGTATAGTAGCTAACTTAAACATGCTAATTTTTTAGGGAAGGAGAATGGATGTGGCTTGGTGTAACAAAGCCTGGCATATGGTACACCAATGTCTAGTTTGAGAATGGAGGTGGAGGCAGTCACTGCTGCCTTTCGCTGGCTTGAGAGTCAGCTGTACACACATGTCATAATTGTAACTGACTCACAGAACATGGTGAGAAAGGTGGAGACAGGCATGCTCCGTGCAGAGTGGCAAGCATCACTTCAGAGGTCCGGGGTAGTTAGCATCCTTTGGATATAGTCTCCAGGTCATGCCGATGTGTTGAGAAATGAGCAGGTAAAGGCGAAACGAATATACAATCAGGCAGTTACTGGTACCATCTTAATTTTTACTCTACGCTTGCTGCTGAAGATAGGGATGAAGCCCTTATGGGAGATGCAGTCGGCTATTGAACTAGATATAAGAATCATGAAAACTAGGACAGAGATGCAGTCGGCTATTGAACTAGATATAAGAATCATGAAAACTAGGACAGAGAGATGTAGTCAACTATTGAACTAGATACAAGAATCATGAAAATTTAGAACAGAGAGATGCAGTCGACTACTGAACTAGATACAAGAGTCATGAAAATTTAGAACAGAGAGATGCAGTCGACTACTGAACTAGATACAAGAGTCATGAAAATTAGGACAGAGATGCAGTCAGCTATTAAACTAGATACAAGAATCATGAAAACTAGAACAGAGAGATGCAGTTGACTACTGAACTAGATACAAGAATCATGAAAACTAGGACAGAGAGATGTAGTCGACTACTAAACTAGATACAAGAGTCATGAAAACTAGGACAGAGATGCAGTCGGCTATTGAACTAGATACAAGAATCATGAAAACTAGGACAGAGAGATGTAGTCAACTATTAAACTAGATACAAGAATCATGAAAACTAGGACAGAGAGATGTAGTCGACTACTGAACTAGATACAAGAGTCATGAAAACTAGGACAGAGATGTGGTAGGCTACTGAACTAAATAAAAGAGTAATGAAAACTAGGACAGAGAGATGCAGTCGTCTACTAAACTAGATACAAGAATCATGAAAACTAGGACAGAGAGATGTAGTCGACTACTAAACTAGATACAAGAGTCATGAAAACTAGGGCAGAGATTCAGTCGGCTACTGAACTAGATGCAGTAATCTAGAGACAGATTTAAAATGCAGATTCAGGTGGAAAGATGTGCTAACTGTCAACAAAAAATTGACAAAACATATCTCTGACATTTCTATAAAGTCATCTTCTATTTTGATAATATTTATCTTCAGCTACTCACTCACATTTCATATACACTTTACTGAGTGAGAATATTTTATTTTGTTTTAAAATTGTTCAAAGAATGCTGTACAAACGTGCCAATGATGAACAACATTTAATAATAAAAGCTTCTTTCAACAGCAGATTTCTTGACAGTGCACTGCATAAATAATATCGTGTATTAACTCTCACATCTAAAGTAACAAGCTTATTGCCTTAAGGTGTCAGGGCAGGAATATATCTCTGGAACAGGCCCTTCTGTTCACATCCTATAAAGTACCTTTCAGTGTCTGATATTTCTGTGGTGTATCTTTTGCATGGTCAACCTCTGGCTCTGTTACCATTGTATCTACATAACGTTGCTCTCTGTGGTGCTCTTTCTAGTGCTTATCTTGTTACGTCGCCCAATCATTTGATTTTTCAAAGGAAAAATGTAAAAGGCAGATAGGCAGACAAGTCTTTTGTTTTATAAAATGAACATTGCCCACCTGTCCCCTGTAAATCCAGTCAGACAATGACACACTGGCCTGCTGACCAGGTTTTCACACATGCCATTGTTTTGACAGTAATCATCTGTGCAGGTCTTGATGATAACCTGACACTGTGTCCCCTGCGTTCCTGCAAATGCCATCAAACATGTCTTGACTAATACTTGGAAAAACAGGATCCACCACATATATGGCCTTCCCTAATACACAGAGATGTTACTGATCACATAAAAATTAATTAATTACACTATAACAAACTAAAACAAAAGTGACCCTTTTTACACACTTGGTGCTGGGCCATACTTGTACAAACGAAAACAGGTGAAATCACTGCTATTGATTAAACATTATCAGTAATTACAAAATGAAATAAACATGCCAAATGCATTGTAAGAAATGTTATCAACAGAGATCGCTTAAAACAGTTGTAAATGTTTGAAGTAAGTCAACATACACATGATGCTGGATCAAGAGCAGATCACATTGATACCCACATAGATGAACACCCCAAAACATCTCTTAGAACTGTCTAGGTTTATACATATTTTGATTGTTATTATGGAATACACAATAAACAAAAATCAACACAAATTTAAAAAAAAAAATTAATTCTGGGCTAGGAATGTTAATATGCAAAAAAATATTTTTCAAAGGAAAACTGATAATTAGCAGCAAAAAGCACAAGTAAACAATAATTATTACAGTAAATTGAGTGAAAAAAATAAGTAACACATTTTTTCTATCTTGAGCATGTGATAACAAATTATGGTTAAAGTGAAATAAAAGTTTTAAACATTTTGGAAATTTTAAACATATTTTCAGAAATATCATAAATATTAACATCAAAAGAGATACTATAAAATGCAGAAACTCTGATAATGAACAAGCAATTAGAAAGTGGAACTGAGGCCTGGAGATATAGATATCCAAAAGAATAAGTTTTATTTCATGGCGCGGGGGGGGGGGGGGGGGGGGGGGGGGGGTTGTGGAGGGGGGGGGGGGTTACTGAGTATAGACTCAGTGAATCAAATTTTACACATCTGAGAAACAAAGAAACAAAGCTTGCAAGACAGAAGAAACTCTAAGTAATACAGCTGAAAGAAGTATAAATCATTATATAAAGAAGTGCAAGCTTTTTCAAGCAGGCAAAACAACAGTGGATTGCAAGCAGATGCAACAAGTTAGAAAATATGGGAGGATAATATGTAATGTATATATGCATAAATATTTTAAGAAAATGACCTATATAAAGGATTTCAAAAGAAATAATAAAGAAAAGATCCTCCTTAACAAGAGTGATACATAAAAAGGATAGACAAAATATGTAAGAGAATATGTGAGATGATAACATGACACTTAATAATAATAAAGGCCCTATTAAGTCAGAAGTAACAAGAGCAATAAACACTAGGAAGAGATTAACAGCCAATGGAAATAATAACAATACAATAGAAACAATAGATCTCTTTATTTATATTAGAGTAGAATAGATTTCTAAGTTAAGCAATAAAGTATAGAAATCTTTGATGGAGAGAGAGGTTTGTTGGTATCCTTTACAGGATGTTGCAGAACTAACCCCAACAGCCCCTGGCTGTTGTGCCTGGCTGTTGTGTGGTTTTTTTCTAGGCAAATTTACGTCCAGTAGTTTGCCATTGCTTTCTGGATGGTCGGCTTTCTTGATACCACTGTCGAAACCAACGCAAAGTGCATGGCCCGCAGCTGGGATCAAACCTGGCATCCTGGCATTACGAAGCATTTTCATCGACTTAGCCACAGAGCTGACAATCTTTGATGAAATAACATTTTATAGAAGTGTACCTATTAATAAAGATCACAGAAGAAAATAAAGCACCCAAGAAAAGTACAATGCAGGTTTCATACCACAAGACTAAACAAATTGAGAATACAGATAACAAAACATAAATGAACGGGACCAATGTTAGGCAACTAAAGTACCTCAGCCATGAAAACATATAACGATTTGCTAAAAGATGTTCTGGAGGAAATGGAGGGAGGAAGGGTCCCCCAAAAAAATGTAACATGTAAATGGACAAAATCAAGAAGATTAATGCCTGGTGAAGATGTTGAGCAGAGAGTATTCAATTCTCTTGTAATTTAAAAGTAAAATTTTTTTCTGTGTAAATTACCATTTTTTTTTTTAATTTAAAGTCATTTAAAGGTACCTGCAGGACATGTACAAGTATAGGTGGTTCCATTTCCGGCACATATTCCTCCATTGTAACAAGGGTGAGAAGCACAAGGGTCTAATGACTTATTGCAGTATTCTCCAGTCCAGCCTGTGAATGATAAGACATCAGTGTAATTCATTTTACTGTACTCTTGGTTACCTCTATAAGTATCCCATTATAAATAACCACAGCTGCTTTACAAATTCTTCTGTGGGTTGGTGTTACAATTTTGAAATTAGCCTAGAAATTAATCTATTCTGTGTTTCAAATTTAAACTGTGAACAGACATTAATACACATCTTTGTATCTTTCCTCTTATCTTGATGTCTAAACACCAATTCATTAGAAGGAATATGACTGTAATGTAACATCCTCAGATTCCTTATTTTGCAATCATTTAGACAATGACTATGACTATTGTACATCTAAAACACTATCTTTCATCAAATTTGTCAAGCTTTCTAGTCAAATCCTGTTTTGTGTTTATTTACTTTTTGATAATAGCCTGACTGCATTGATTAATTTTTATGTAATAATTTTTTTAATGCACAGATTAAATGACAGATGCAAGTATTGAGTTTAAGATAACTAGCAAAATACTGCAGTGACTGCATCCATCTTCATTTTAGATTGAATGTAGCAGCTACATATATGGTGCTGTGCTCATCAATGGTGTATCCTTGACATTCAATAGAGATTTCAAAGCTCTCACCCTACAAGATCAAACTAATAGTGTACTTGATGATGTCATACTATCCAAGACTATTTCCAGTCAGTTGCTGCACTCCTTTTTTCTGTCCCTGTCCCTGCATTTCTTGCTAAGGATAATAACAGCATAATTCTCTTTCAGGCTCATTTCAATCCATTTAAATCACACACAGATATGCTCAATGCTGACAAGATCGTAGATAGAGTCAGTTCAGTCTGTGCTAGCCAAAACATCCCTAAGTGAATTTTTGCACTAGAATACTCCCAGGCCATCACCATCCAGGACAGTGTGAGTACTCTGAGGCCATAATCAACATAAGCAGTTGAGGTGAGTTGAGTCAAGAATTGACATCACAGCACTCAGGGCATTCCCATGCATGCTCCATCCTCATCTTCAGCAGCCAGGGCAGAGTTTCAATACTGATGGTACCGGTCACAATCTGGTTATAAGTCCATCTTGCCTTTTCCCTGAGTGTAGTGAGCCAGCCAGACACTCTGGATACACCCAGATGCTTCATTCTCAATAGGCCATAATAATATTCTATCTCTACTGATTCCACTGCTTGTTCCCAAAGGGCCTTAACCACATCTGCCTTGTCATGTATCAATTCACCACCCGGTGGTGCAGATCCAGCCAATCTGCCTGCCTGTCCGTTACTCATCATGCCAGCATAGCCTGGAGAAAAGATCCAAAGTATGCTCACTACTCATGACCTTCCCAGTGAAGCTTGCCACTTTGCTCGAAGCATCCCTGTCTTCACCTTTTTCAGCATGCTTTCAGAGTCTGTTACAATAACGACATGTGTATGCATCTTGTTCTCTAGCCACTGGAGAGCTGCAGTTACCCACTCCAACTCCATTCTCATGCTAGGTGTTGTGGTGTCATATGCCAGACTGTCTTGCACTAAATATTTTCCACTGGCTTTCGCTACCAACCCCCAGGCACTTCACTTTCCTCTCAACACCGAACAATCTGTACAGATAACCAGATCAACTGGGTGTGAATTGTCGTGAATCAATTGTTGGACTTCCACCTCTGTAGCACCCGTTGGCCACTCGCTGCACACGTGGCCCAATGTGATTATAACCCTACACAGGTTAGACTTCTCTGCTAGTACTCTGACCCACTTCTCTCCTCGCCCAATGTTCTCCAGCATGCATACTTGTCTTATTGTGTCTTCTGCTTAAGCAATACACGATTTTCCCCTTTTCAGCCTCTGACCCTTATCTGCAGCTAAAGCTTGATACAGAGGGTGTAAATCAACATAAACAGTGTGAATTCTCAAACCATAAAAAAATACTGATAATGTGAGAATGTCCAGACCAGAGGGAGTACTGTTATATAACTAATATGGATAGTGTCAGTACAGTCAAACATATAACCAACATAGTGTCAGTACAGTCAAACAAATAACCAACATGGAGAGTGTCAGTACAGTCAAACATATAACCAATATTGATAGTGTCAGTACAGTCAAACATATTACCAACATGGATAGTGTCAGTACAGTCAAACATGTAACTAATATGAATAGTGTCAGTACAGTCAAACATATTACCAATATGGATAGTGTCAGTACAGTCAAACATGCAACTAATATGGATAGTGTCAGTACAGTCAAACATGTAACTAATATGGATAGTGTCAGTACAGTCAAACATATAACCAACATGGATAGTGTCAGTACAGTCAAACATATAACCAATATGGATAGTGTCAGTACAGTCAAACACATAACCAACATGGATAGTGTCAGTACAGTCAAACATATAACCAACATAGTGTCAGTACAGTCAAACAAATAACCAACATGGAGAGTGTCAGTACAGTCAAACATATAACCAATATTGATAGTGTCAGTACAGTCAAACATATTACCAACATGGATAGTGTCAGTACAGTCAAACATGTAACTAATATGGATAGTGTCAGTACAGTCAAACATATTACCAATATGGATAGTGTCAGTACAGTCAAACATGCAACTAATATGGATAGTGTCAGTACAGTCAAACATGTAACTAATATGGATAGTGTCAGTACAGTCAAACATATAACCAATATGGATAGTGTCAGTACAGTCAAACACATAACCAACATGGATAGTGTCAGTACAGTCAAACACATAACCAACATGGATAGTGTCAGTACAGTCAAACATATAACCAATATGGATAGTGTCAGTACTGTCAAACATATAACCAACATGGATAGTGTCAGCACTGTGAAGTTAGGGGCTTGGTTATTGGTAGGGGGCTGGCATTTAGGGAGCTGCATGGTCTTGAGGCATAGCGTCCGCTTTGAGTGCTGGAGTGCTGGGTTCAGGTCCTGGTGAAGGCTAGGATTTTTTCACATGGGCTTCCAATAATTTTACCTGGTCTCTGGGTAGTGAGATAGCCACCCGTGTGTACTCTTGCACAGGTAACAAATCTCTTGGCAGTTGGAAATTGAAAAGAGTAGTCTAACAGCACTGCCCAGGCAAAAATTGGAGCTAAAAATCTACACAAATTATTTCAGGATCATAACCCATGCAACAGAGTTTGTGAACTGTGTTGAGCTGCTTCAGACTCGGGCTTGAGTTAGAAGTAGAACAGGGCACTTATGGGTTACACCTGTGTCCCATGATGTCGATTCCTTAAATAAACCATAAACTATGATCATGTCAGTACTGTGAAATATAAATAACATGGATAGTGTCAGTACTGTCAAGCATATTACAACATAATGTCACTACTGTCAAGCATATAACAACACAATGTCACTACTTTCAAGCATTTAACAACATAGTGTCAGTACTGTCAAGCATATTACAACATAATGTCACTACTGTCAAGCATATAACAACACAGGGTCACTACTTTCAAGCATATAACAACATAGTGTCAGTACTGTCAAGCATATTACAACATAATGTCACTACTGTCAAGCATATAACAACACAATGTCACTACTTTCAAGCATATAACAACATAGTGTCAGTACTGTCAAGCATATTACAACATAATGTCACTACTGTCAAGCTTATAACAACACAGGGTCACTACTTTCAAGCATATAACAACATAGTGTCAGTACTGTCAAGCATATTACAACATAATGTCACTACTGTCAAGCATATAACAACACAGGGTCACTACTTTCAAGCATATAACAACATAGTGTCAGTACTGTCAAGCATATAACAACATAGATGGTGTCAGTACTGTCAAGCATTTAACCATCATGGATATTAACAGTACTGTCAAGCATGTAACTAATATAGATAGTGTAAATACTGTCAAGCATCATCATCAGGTGCCTTGCCAACCGGTGTGGGCGATCATGCCTCTCCATAATCTGCGATCTCCTGCAGCATGTATCAGTTCGTGTGCCAACACACCTCCATGCCATGCAACAAGACTGTCAAGCATCTTCTCTCGTTGTCTTCCTCTACCCTCCTTTCACAGATCTTTCCAGTGGTCACAACATGTTCTATTTTCCCTTTTCTTAAAACATGGCCGAAAAATGATGAATGTCTCCTTCTGATGTCTGTGATAAGTTGTCTTCGGGCTCCTGCCTCTTTATAAACCTCTTGGTTGCTCTTTTTTGCTGTCCAAGGTATTCTAAGCATTCTTCTGTAAAACCCCATCTCTGAGGCCTCAAGAAATTGTTTGGCCTGCCTACCGATTGTCCAGGATTCACAGCAATATGTTAAAACTGGATGTATGTAGCAAGCAAGAATTCTTTTTCTAACTCTCAATGACAAGGATATATTGCACAAGATGTTTTTCATTTTATAAAATGCAGTTTTTGCCTGTCCTATTCTGTTTCTTATCTCAGTTATGCATCTTCCATCTGATGTTATCCATGTGCCCAGATACTTAAATTTCTGTACTTGTTCTATAATAACACCATCGACTTTTATTACATATTTAGGAATAATTCGTTTCTTTGATATCACCATTACTTCTGTCTTCCCAATATTCAAACTGAGGTCCATTCTTCCACTTTCTAACACCACAATGTCTATCATTTCCTGTAATTCTTTCTGACTTGTTGCTATCCAAACTGTGTTATCAGCATAACATAAATTGTTTATATTGTGCCCACCAACCACAATTCAGGGCATATCAATTGAAGATCTTATTATATATTCACTGTCAAGCATATAACCAACAAATAGTGTCAGTACTGTCAAGCCTATAACCAACATGGATAGTGTCAGTACTGTCAAGCATATAATAAACATTGTTAGTGTCAGTACTGTCAAGCATATAATCAACATTGTTAGTGTCAGTACTGTCAAGCATATAACCAACACAGATAGTGTCAGTACTGTTGAGCATATAATCAACATGGATAGTATCAGTACTGTTAAGCATATAATCAACACCGATAGTGTCAACACTGTCAAGGATATAACCAACACAGATTGTGTCAGTACAATTAAAGCATATAACCAACAAGCACAGGAGCATAGAGTCAGTACTGTCAAGCATAGTGTTAGTACTGTCAAAGCATATAACCAACAAGCATAGTGTCAGTACTGTCAAAGCATAGTGTCAGTACTGTCAAAGATTATAACCAACAAGTAGAGTGTCAGTACTGTCAAAGCAGACTGTCAGTACTGTCAAAGCATATAACTAATTAGCCTAGTGTCAGTACTGTCGAGCATACAACCAACAAGCAGAGTGTCAGTACTGACCAGCATACAACCAACAAGCATACTGTCAGTACTAACATGCCAAAATCAATCACAAATGAAACACAAATAAATTGTGTCATCAAACAATGACATCATGACACCTGCCTCTATGTCCCTCTTATAAGCTGTCAAAGATGACTAATGCTTACTGTTTTAGCAACTCGAGATCATGCAAGAAGAGAAGCATCATCTACATTTTCTCTGTAGTGTTATCAGCTTGACTGAGAGATTGCTATAAAATGTCACGCAACGATAAATTAGCTTGATATGTCTGTCAACAATCTGTTTGTTCAGTGCAACAACATGGAGGTTTGGTGTAACAGTTATTAAAGTTGAGCAGACTTTAGTAGCTTTGGTCTTAAAGAAAGTTACTGTGCTTCTAAGCTATAGTTTTCTACACCTCTTGCATATACTTTGATTATTTCACCTTAAGTAAGACATAATTTTTCACATACAGAAATATAGTAACGTAGAAGGTGTTGTTTCAGTGAAGTACAAGTAATGTTGAAAAAAATGTCAATTCCATATTTCCTATTTTATGCATTTTTTTTTTTTACCATCAGAGCAAACACAGGATTTGATGTGTGGCAGACGATCCACACAATTTCCATTTTGGCAGAAGCACTGTGCTTGGCCTGAAAATAAATAATTATGTGAATAATAATTAACTCATGAGAAGAAACAAGATTTTCTATTAATTTTTCATAAATAATTATTGACTACATTCTCTATTATGTGCTTTACGTCACACCTGAACCACAACTCTTTCCCCACTTATGCTGAAACCCTATCTCAAACTAAACATTAAGTATCTCAACTCTTACACATAATATCATGAAGATATGTTTCTTATGTTATTCGCTGCCTTTTTTTTTAGAGCTTTCTGTGCATTCTTTTATGTTTCTTTGTTGTTACAGATTTTGCTTTCCTAGTATTTTCCCCATACAAGACTAATTTCTCTATTTCATCTGATCTGTGGATCTTATAGTCCTTGCTGTGTTTTAACTGTAGTCATCAGGTCTCCCACAACCCTATATCTCATGCACTGCCACCAATCAATGTGAATGCTGATGTTCTTCCGCACTATGTATGTTATTCTGCCAAACTAACATTCATATTTAAGGTGGGGGGGGGATTTCCTATTTTTTCCTCTCTCATTTTCCTGTTGCTATAACATTCACATTCTTTGGGCAAATAGAAAGGAATGAAAAAGTGGAATACTTGTTAAAACAGGCAAGTTGGAAAGGAAAAGAAGAAGAGAGAGACCAAAACACAATATTCTAGAGTTTGGCATCATTGTATAGAGGAACATCTGCATGAAAATGGAGTGGCTTTGTACACGACAAATGACACATTCATTTTTGCTATGAATATTTGAATATATTGAATTTACTTGTTTTGAAAAACAATGTTTATCATCAGTTATTTTGAAGTTGAAGTCTGCCATTTTTCAGGAAAATATTTGATTTTAATTATTTCTCAAACATTAAATGGTGTTTTAAATTTAAAATAAACTCTTTCCTGAATGTCTGCAGAATGTGGCACACTTCAGGAGCTGCTGAGCTGTTGCTTCTTGGCAGCAGATTAACGTACTTTTCATGCTTTTTGATTGTATTCTAGCACTTGGCATTTTCAAAAATGAAATTAGCAGCAGCTGACCATGCATCAGTTTTCCACAACCCGAGACTGGATTTCAACTACCCAGTTTTCCGTCACACTGATACAACTCCCACATGATGTTCAGACTAGTTTCTATTCTCTGCTCACACTTGACTATTTTGTATTTGCACCTTAATTTTATACTTTGAAAAATCAATCTGTCTCTTGTATAACTGCTGAAAGTTGGTAGGATACTTCATAAAACAACATAAGTTCATAAATAATCAAAACCTAAAATGATAGCAACTAACAAACGCTTTGCTAGAATATAATACATTATATATTTTTCAACTAATACAATCTTTCCTTTAAAAAAAAAAAGGCAATGGAATGTTAGTCTTAGCAATAATGAGAAAGCTATTAAAATATTATTTAACTAAGTGCACAAAATATCAGTGACTCACTTAATGTTAGACAGTCACTGATGCTAGTTTTGCCAGTAGAATTAGTGTACTGATTACGACTACATTCTGTACAGGAAAGGGCTGCTGTTTTATCACTGTAGTGGTGTAAAGGGCATGCCATGCAGTTCTCATGGCCGTCAATTTCATTGAAAGTTCCAGGAGGACATGAGGCTGTAAAGAAGCATCTCATGTACGAACGTGAAAATAATTAAAAACACAATTATATGAACGTGAAAATAATTACAAACACAATTATATGAACGTGAAAATAATTACAAACACAATTATAACAGAAAACAAACTAAAACCCAAAAAAGTTGAATGTTTTCCAAAATGGCTGTCATTGTCAAGCTTGGTCTTTAACTCTTTGAGTCCCGAGGAACGCATCATACATTCATAGGTTCCTACATAGAAGCCCAATGAACACATGATGCGCCGATTTTATGTCTCTTTTCACTACCCCTTGGGCCTGTGATGCTAAACCCCCTGGGACTCAAAGAGTTAATAACATCCCACCAAAGAAAATGCATTTAGATATATATATATATATATATATATATATATATATATATATATATATATATATATATATATATATATATATATATATATATATATATATATATATATATATATATATATATATATATATATTAGGGGCTGTACTGAATATTCGCATCGTATTCGCTTCAGGGCCGAATAGTGGACAGAATGACTATTTGGTATTCGCCCAAATAGTTGCGGTCGGGGCAAATACGAATAGTGGTTACTCTACACTCGTTTCTGCATACACTGTGATGGACTGAAATAATTCTTACATTAACACAATAGTTGCTGTTGCCTAAGTTTGTAGTAGCTGGAAAACTGTGACCCGGTTGCGTGGTACAGCAGCTGGCACAGACATCAGAAGGAGATAGTAATCATTTTTCGGCCATGTTATGAGGAGAGGGAAAATGGAACATGTGGTGACCACTAGAAAGATCTGTAGAAGGAGGGATAGAGGAAGACAGCGAGAGAACATTCTTGACAGTTTTGTTGCATGGCATGGAGGTGTATCAGCACACGAACTAATACATGCTGTAGCAGATCGCAGATTGTGGCGAGGCATAATCGCCCACGTCGGTCAGCAAGGCACCTGATGATGATGATACACTATTCGTGTTCGTATTCGTATTCGGCCGAATAGTTGGTCCCACTATTCTTATTCGGCTGAATAGTGAAAACCACTATTCGGTACAGCCCTAATATTTATATATATATAAATGACTCACACTTGAGATAAAAATGGTTGATTAGGTAGGGTCCTCAGAAAAGAAAGAATGTAAAATGACACCAGAAAAAGAAAGGTGTATCATCATGCACCAAATTCAACAACAGAAACAAATAAAATAATTTTTAAATTTTATTTAAAAAAAATTTAAATCAATACCAATAACAGCATACAGTTAAATCAGATATACCTGTAGTTATAGAAATGTCATGAAATCAATGAGCGGAAAATATTGAGAAAATACTAAATAAACATATATACTTGTAGGATGCAATCAAAGCAGCAAATCTGGAAGCTTAGGCCCCACACATTTCTAACCTTACTAATAGGTGTGAATTAAGAGATAAGACATCCACCTGCAGCTTTACAGTAGACACTACAAATGAAAATTATACTAAAAGATGCCCCCCCCCCCCCCCCCTCTCCCCCCTCCGAGTATGTGCATTATGACATACTATCATGTGGCTGTGAATATGACACACGTGGAATGTGTCTCAATGTAAAATAAGTTAAAAATGAAATGCAAATTGCAGAAAACTTTGGGCAAACGACCAGATTTTCAGTCTTATTAAAACTTTGGGAAAACGACCAGATTTTCAGTCTTATTAAGCTCATAATGGCAGAGTTTCTTTGTTTATTCTTGAGAATATTTCTAGGTTCCATAAGAATTACACAACCTAAAACAATGTTAAGAAAAACAAAATATGCCCAAGCATATCCACCATTTGAAACACTCCAAGCATGCAATTAATTAGGATTATACTTTTTAAATTATCTTTCACAATCCAAGCAGGTGTCTTTTAAGATTTTCAGGTGAAATATTGTGTGAGTGTGTGAGCAAGAGCGGCAGTGTGAAAGAGAGACAGTACATGTGTGTGCCATATATATATCTGTGTGTGTGTGTGTGTGTGCGTGCATGCGTGCGTGCGTGCGTGTGTGTGTGTGTGTGTGTGTGCGCATGCCTCACTTCATTAAATGATTAAAATTCTATAACGTACATATGGCTAGAAACGTTAAAAAATGCCATGCAATAAATTCTGCAGTGTACTGTTTGTGCCCTCAGCAAATGACAGAAAGTGCTAAGATCTATAGCAGCCAACTTCTGTTGTAGATATGGTACTGATTAACTGTTCATTCTCTAAATGACTTTTCACAGTCAAAATGTTAAAAACAGAAACCATAGTGATAGTTTAGCCACAATTGTTCGGCCACTCTCAGAATTCTTACCATCACACATTTTGTGCCATGTTATCATATTATGTCTCTTCTGTCTACAGCATGCCCACATCTCAACTCCTATGAGCTCCTATCGCACGGGTTAAGCGATTTGTTCGTTTGGCCATAATTTTCCTAGTCCATCCTGATCCATACTTGGTAAAAGATTGTGAAGTATCATGAGAAGTATAGGATCTCTAGCACATCTGTTGTATTAAATTAAAGGTTTATATCATGAACAACAAGCAGCCTTCAGAGCAGCTGGAAAAGCATTTGACCTGTTCGAGGTGCAAAAGGGAGGGAGGCAAGGGAGCATTCTCTCACGATACCTATTCAACATATAGGCTGAAAGTTTTATTAGAAATGTCAGCTATCCTCCTACTAACGGTCGGCAAAGATGGCGGTCACAAAATATCCAGTTGAGCCACAGTCACGTGTCTATTCCGCACTTGCAGTAACGAGCACATGGCGGCAAAACTAGGATTAGTGTCTGTTGAATATGTTGAGAAACGGAACAAACCGCCTAGTTAAACTTGCCACCAAGAGTCTTCCCCACGCCGCTACGCGCGATGTGGATGAGGCTAAACTGGATGGCTTGGACCCATAAGCAGCAGCTTCCGCATTTCCTGCAGCTTTGCTCCTCGGCGGTGGCAGTAGTCGCAGGGAAACCGCAAATTAAGTCTCTGGAAGTTCGAAATTGACACGTGAGTGAGGCCCTGTTTTTGGTCGACATCTTTTGTGCCCGTTATTCGGAGGATAGCCGGTCTGTGGATGCTACTAAAAACAAGGGTGCATTACCAATGCGGTACGATTTGCGCCTTGTTCCGATTGTACCTAGCCGAGTTTCAATGGCGTAACAGCCACAAACAGCAGATTTTCTAGCACTATTTAGAACGTCTGTGCCATAATTTCCTGACATAAAGGCATACAATTATTGGTAAGTAGTCGATGTGATTTAACATTTTTGTCGCTCCTTATTAGTTTTCGTTCCTTATTAGTTTCCACTTCAATTTTTGACTGTTTACAACACATGACACGTGACTGTGGCTCGACTGGATATTTTGTGGCCGCCATCTTTGCCGACAGTTAGTCGGAGAATAGCCGAAATGTCAAAAATGACCAGACATGTGATAGTTATAATCCAATCATAACTGGTGGCAGTCCTATTCTAAACTTTGCCACACAATTCCCCTTTCGAACAATGTAAATGGAACAGAACATATAATCACGTCTGTCCAAAAATACAGTGAAGATCAAAACCTATTCTGGAAGGAATTTTAAGAAAACAAAAATAATCACAGACAAAAATGGTTGTCCCCGCAAAAATTAATGACAAAGAAACTAAAAATGTCACAAACTTGAAATATCTAGGCTCCATAATAAATAGCGATGGACACTGTTCGACAGAAGTCAAAAGGAGAATGGCCATAGCAATACAAACAGTAAACAGCATTAAAAGTTAATGGTTAAGCACCAGAAAGAAAATCCAGAAAATTACTTTTCGCCGACGACCAGGTACTCATAGCAGAAAATATGGAATGCCTACAGAACCACCTAAATCAAATTAGTAACAAAGGGGAGGAATATAATATGAAAATAAACACTACGAAGACAGAGACAATGATGATAGGAAGACATAAAGACAATTTAGAAATTAAATTAAAAAACAACACCCTGAGACAAACAGAGGAATTTAAGTATTTGGGAGCAATTTTTACTTCAGACGGAAAACTGGACAGAGAAATTAGCTCCAGATGTGCCAAAGCTAATCAAGTAATGGGTCAACTATCTCCCCTGTTGACACACAAGCAGATACCCCAGAGTACTAAAGTGAATCTTATCAGAACTATTTTTTGGCCAATACTATGCTATCAGTGCCAAACGTGGACACTTACATCCTCCAATGAACGTAAAATTGTGACAACAGAGATTAAATGCCTTAGAAGAGCTGCAGGAGTTTCAAGGAAAGACAGAATACAAAATCATGAAATCAGACGAATGCTAGGAATAAAGCCAGTCTTACAAGTCATCAAAGAACAACAAATGAAATGGTTTGGACACCTAACAAGAATGCCCTGGTACTATCTGCCACAGCGAGCCACACTAAAACGTTACAACGGGTATAAAGCGAGTGGAAGACCTCGGAAAAGATGGAGTGATGGCATTAAGAACAGCCTTACAGAAATGAACATCAGTCTTAATAGTGCTCTTGACAGAGCTCATCAACGAACATTACATCTCCCCCGACACTTCGATGAGGTACAAGGTGGAAGAGAAGAAGAAGAAGAAGAAGAAGAAAATCCATGTTAAAGTTTTGAGAACACAGCAACATACAGATGTGAGTCGTGGACTATCTTCCAGTCCTAAAGAAAGAAAATAGTGGCTTTTGAGCTTAAATGCTATAAAAACATTCTCAGAATACCAAGGACAAAGAAGAGAGGAATTATGACATTTTAGAAGATCTGAACATCAAGGCAGGTTTGCTAATAAATAGCATCTTATCTTGGAAGCTAAAATATTTTTGTCACTTCAAGTGCCATGGAGGATTGGAAAAAAATAATAGCAGAAGGAATGGTAACATGAAGGAGGGGGAGGGGCCGAGCAATGCAAAGATGGGCACCGGATATAAATGGCTCCTTAAATATGAAAGTGCACAAAGCGAGAGAGCTGGCGAGAAACAGAGTTACTTTCAGGCAGACTGTCAAGAGAGCAGTGTTCTGCAAAGGACCTGCTACACAATGATGATGCTAAATATTGATGCCCATAGGGCACAGAATGTGAAAACTATAAAGGAGGCGATTTTCCAGAGGGATATGTTTTTTTTAATCTCTAGAGCATGATTTTGTGGCAGTGAAAGAGATCTCAATTATACCTTTGTGATAAGAACTATGGAAATAGAGGGAGACTGTTATAATTATTATCTATATTATTATTATTACCTTTGCAATCCATCTGACTTTTAGCCCCATTACCTCTGGTTACTCTATCTGCCAGGCAGGGAAGACAGTTTGTAGCATTCACCCAGAATGTGTTTGTTGGGCATGAGTAACAGGGAGGTAAACCATTAGGAGAGAAAAATCCAGGACCACACTGAGCTGCAGACATGGCATTAGAGGCAAAAGTTGAAAAATGATTAGTTCACATTTATATTATTAACAACAATGAAAAAAATACAAAATATCTGATTAACTTGCAATAAACAATACAAATAATTATAAGTGGTATATTGCTTGATCAGCAACACTATGGAGGAAAGAACATGGGAATTCCCCAAATAATCTTTTACAAAGAGTTGGAAGGATACTTACTTTTGCAGATGATCTGCTCGCATGTAGGCAGAGGGGGTGAGAGGAAACAAACAGCCCAGTAGCTGCAGCCAACAGTCGACAAAGTGACTGACTGGTGTAGAGAAATGAGTGCTGTCATCCCTTCAGAAAAGGCGTCTGTTTTGTTGTGTTCTCTAGACAACAGGATCGTCAGAGCTGATGTTCCAGGTCTCACAACATATGGCAGAAGCATCAACAGAGAGAGCAAACTGAAGTATTCGGGAATCACATTTTACAAGAGCCGGTCCTTTAAGGACCATGTGAATTTGGTTGTTACAAGATGCCAAAAAAGACTCAATGCCTTTAAGACTATGGCTGCAATGGACATAGAGCAGAGAATGCTTTTCACACTATATTAGCACCTGATCCTTTCAGTGACTTTTTATGGCTAGGGACTGCTTACTGTCTGAAAGAGTCAGATGGACAAACTAGAGCGCAAATGCAGCTATGCACCAGACACCCAGTGGTGTTTATGTGATACATCCTTAGTTTGTCGACTATTGCAGGCAGGCACAAGGTAGTGCAAGCAAAGTCATATTTCAAGGTAGCTGATTACCTTTTGCACGAAGCGCTGGAAGGAGTTAAGGGTCAGTGGCTGATAAGAGGGAAGTCATTGATAGCTCACACAGAAGACACAAAAAGACAGGTCTGCAACCTGAAGAACATTAGGCGAAGACAGGAGTGGGTTAGAGTGCCAGCAGAACAGCCAGATTAGTGTAGGGTCATAATCACATTGAGCCGTAAGTGCAGAGAGTGGCCAGCATGTGCCATGGAGGTAGAAATTCAGCAGTTAATTCGAGATAATGCTCGTTATGAGGGTGTGATTATTTATACAGATAGTTCGGTGTCAAGAGGCAAAAGACGTGCTTGGGAGTTCTTTGCAAAAGCCAGTAGTCGATGTTTGGTGCAGGAGAGCCTAGCGTATGATGCCACAACATCCAGTCTAAGAATAGAGGTGAAGGTGGTCATTGCAGTTTTCCCCTGTCTGAAGAACACCAAACCTGCCCGCCCGCAAATACGCACACAAACACATATGCTTTGTTCTAAGTGGCATGCATTGCTTCAGAGGCCATGGGGTAGGAGTATTGTTTGTATTTTGTCTCCAGGGTATGCCAGAGTGCTGGGAAACGAACAGGCAAACAGACTGGCTGGCACTGCTTAACTTGGTGCAATAGGGGAGTCTATCCTGTCCAATGAAGTCTATCCTGTTAGCACAAGTGAACTTTAATGAAAGTTGTGGAAATTATTTTTTTTTAAATTATTGGTAAAGACTAAAACTCTTCTTAAAAAGATCAGGTCTAGCAACTTGGACAGTCATCTTTAACATGAAGAGCAGGAGAGGTCATAAACACTATGTACGTCATCTGAGATTTTCATATTTATAAATAGGACATTCATAATTTGTAGGCATATATATTTTCCTGTTCTTTTATAGGGGAGCTGGTGATCAGACTGACTTGCTTACGATGCTCCTTTTCTTTCTTACTTAGTCGCTCCTCTACCTTGGGGTGTAGCGGTTTGCCAGAGAGATCGTCAGACTTCTCTATCATTTTCGCAGTAAGAAACCCTTTTTGAGAAAAAAGACTGATTACATGCACACTCCCTGCGACTGACAGCTCCGAAGCTATACGTTGAGGTGTTGCTTGGACAGGGCTGACACTGGTTCACACCGGGTAACTCGCCAAATGTTCCCAGAGGACACAGTATGCATGTACCATTGTTAATATATGTTCCTTCTGGGCATACCACTGAAAAACAACAGTTTGCTTAATCAACATAAATTGCAATGTTCCTAACTGATTGTCTCAACTGTGACTTTATAATGATAATAATTATATTATATACATTATTGAGATACAGATCATATTCAGAAATAAAGAAGTTTAAAAACTGTATGTGTTTGAATGCTATTATGTAACAATAAGTACTGTTTCAAAGCTGACTTAATGGATACACCAAGAATACAAATAATCATTAAATCTGGGATTTTATTTCAAATATATTAGGAAATTGAGAATGACAAACATAGAAGATGCTAAAGGTATGCTTTGATTAGCATAGCACAAAGTACCACCTGTCTATTGTCATTATGAGGAAATGATCCCATTATAAAATGAACAATGATTAAGCTATCAAATGTAGAAATTTAAGCCATACAAAAAACAATCTGCTTGGGTTAGTTCAGTTTAATCCTGCACAAAAATTGCATGAATGTTCTGTGCTGTACAACTATCTTATTTCTATCTCATCACAGACTGTGTCAATATCAGCTCACATGGCATCTTTCAGGGCCTTGTACCGAGTCAATAGCAGCTCACATCTTCTAGTTCCTTGTACCGCGTCAATAGCAGCTCACATGAAATCTTCCAGTGCCTTATACGGAGCCATTAGCAGCTCAGATGAAGTCAACAACTGCTCACATTACATCTTCTGGTGCAGTGGTTTTAAACCTTTCTAATATTGTGACTCTTTCTTACAGTTCCTTATGTAGTGGTGACCCTTTCATACAGCTCCTCATGTTGTTGCAAACCCCAAAACATACAACTAATTTTGTTATACTTCATAACCACAATGAAAATGTGCTTTCTGATGGTCTTTGGCTACCAAAAAAAGAGTTGTGACCCACAGGTTGAGTACCACTGTTCTAGTGCCTTGTATTGAGTTAACAGCAACTCACATAACATCTTATAGCTGTATATGCTTCCATTAATTTATTTCAAGCAATCTTTGTTAGTCACTCTGGCCAAGGAACCACATCTCTGTCACCTCCAATTTGTTCTAATCTGTGCGTTCACATTCCTTGATTCACTACCATACAGCAATATAGGTTCTTTATAACATTTTAGTACTCTCTTTTGGACATTTAAAGAAATGGACCAGTTGTACAAGATATTCTTCATTCTGTGAAATGCAGCCTTGCCTGGCCTATTCTGCTCCTAATTTCTGATACCTATTTTCTGTCTGATGTTAAGACTGTTAAGGACATATCAATTTATCAACTTGGATAAACTTGTTACCTTCTATTCTTATATCGCACTGTGGTGATATTCTTTTCTTCGATATAACCATTACCTCCATTCTCTTTATATTCAAAGACAGGCTCTTTTTTGCACTCTCCATCGCTGCGTCCAATAACTTCTGTAGATCGTTTGCACTTTCAGCTATCAATACTGTGGCATTTGCATAATGTATGTTGTTTATATTATAACCTTCCACTCTAAGTGCTTGTGTATCTTTGATCTCTCTCAATGTCATCTTGCTATAGAGAGAGAAGAAGTCAGGTGACAAAACATATCCCTGTCTTACTCCTTGTTTGATCTGTTCATATGTGCTCATTCTATTTCTTATTTTAATAGCTGCAATTTGCTTCCAACAGATATTCTGAATTATTCTGAGAGCTTCCCATTAATGTTAATACATGTCAATATTTTGACAAGTTCCTCATATTTCATCTTATCAACTGGGTAAAGCTGGGGTGACCATTCCCAACCCAGCGCGTCCACTGGTGGCGGATTGTGGAACAGCCTCTAGATTTAGAAGTTAGATGTGAATACCAAATAAGCAGCCACAAACCAACTGGCGGTGGGCACAGAGGGTGAGGCGGGATTTCAGGGTGGGATCTGAAATCCTTATAAAATACATCATATGCTCGGAGACGTACCCCTTTCCTCGGGTAGGTGGAACCCATTAGCTTTGGACAGCAGTCCACCTAGGAGACGGAAAACTCCAAATATAAACCCCCAAGATCAAGGTGGGCCAATGGGCTTAGAAACTGGATGGCTACGGGTGAGCTGGTCGTGAACGTAGGACGTCTGGTGGGCGTGGTGCGGTGTGGCACCAGGCATAAGGACTCTTACAGGACATCCACTGCCCCTTCCCTAGCACGCAGGCAATACTAGGGGGACCGGTCATTTCCAGCAGTACTATTTTTTTTTTAGTATATGTATTTTAAAAATATACCCAGGAATCGCCGCCGGAGCTACGGAGCATATACTCTGCACTTGACACATTTTTCAGCAGTTCGTGAAGAGAGAGTAAGGAGGAGATGACGAGGGAATGGGCAGAGAAGAAGGCATAGAAAAAGGAGGGCAGGTGCTAGAAGAACAAAACGAAAAGCTGAGAGACTGGGCTTCAATCATGAAAGAATATGATACTGGAACTGTTGGAGTGCTAGGCAGAGAGGTCCTGTACTGGAGAGGTTGATTTTTGATTTTATTGTCATCATGCTCAAGGAACTAAATTCAGACAGATATCATTGCCCTGGGAACATCAGTTATATAAACCGTGTTGGACAGAATAGACATGGACAAGGTCTGGTGGTGAAGGAAGGAGTGAAGCATATGGTGTTTGACTTGAGCCAGTGGAACCACAGTGGCAGAGAGGTTCAAGGGATACAGGTGGAGATTGGTGGCCTAAGTTGGAACTTCATAAATTTATATGCCGTCTCTGGACTGTTTTGTCAGAAGGGAACAATGGGGCTGGCTCAAAGAAATGGAGGAGTTACCAGGTGATAGGTTACTCATATGTGGGGATTTCAACGCAAGGAACAGAGAATGGGACAGCAGCGGAGAAAACTGACAGGGAACTGCCCTTGCAGAGACCATGGTTGACTCCGATATGGTCTGCATCAATGATTGGAGGCCGACTAGAATGGCGATAAGGTCTGGTGATGCACACACAGCCACTGACTTGTTGGTTGTCGGTTTTAGATGTTAAATGTACTGTCCTGAATGACCATGGGAGTGATCACCTACCATGTTCAGTCCTGA